TTCAAGGTTTTGATCATTTGAATAGCTGTTGAATAGCGTCAAAGCAGATGTGAAGTTTATAGTGAAATAGTAGCCTTTCCTGGCACGATTGGCAGAAGTGAATAGGTTAGTCCAGCATTTTCCAAGCTGTGAGTTGGAGTTCTGTGGGATGCATGTGACAGCCACAAGCATTCATGAAGGCTCCCCTGGTCAATTAAGGCTAGGAAACTCTAGGGGAAAGCCAGATAAATAGAGTGTCAATTTTGCCTTTAACTGGAGGAATTCTCAGTCTTTAAAATGTGAACAATCGTTATAAATCTCCTAGAGGGGGACCTGGGAGCAGCGTTTCCTAAATTTATTTAACCATGATATTTTCTTCAAAAAAAATTTTTTTTTCAGTGTCTTAGAGGACAATGCTGCATGATAGTTTTGACAGGAGTCTTAACCCTGTGTGACATTTATTTCATTAAAAAAAAAAAAAAGTTTTCTGGACTCTACCCCACAATCTCCAGGAGAAGGGCCATTGCAACTATATGTTCCAAAAGGCTCCGCTGGAGATTCTGCTGTGCGGCCAGAGTGGAAAACCACTGTGTTAGGAGAATGGCTTTGGATTCAGGAAGACGTAGGTTCAAGTCCAAACAGCACAGACATTCTATTATGTTACATTTGGAAAGTGAATTAATCTGGTTGTCTTAATTTTCCCATCCATAAAATAAAGAGTTATACTCACTCAGTCATATCATTTTTGGTCCAAAAGAATTAAATGAAATAATGAAGGAAAATAATTAGCATGTAGTAAGTGCTGTTTCCAATTCGCAATCCTCAGTAGCTCCAACATAAATAAAACTGTGAAATTATTTTCTTTCTCCATTCCTTAGGCTCCCACGCCAACAATTTTTGCCCCTCTTCAACAAGAATGAAATAATTCTGAATCCTTATATCCTGTTCCTGGGGTGTACCTTTGCTGTACTCAGACTGATGTTCTGAGAGAGTGTCAGACCATTAACGAAGATGGTTGTGAGTCTGTTGGCGATCACTCTCCTGTCTTCCGCAAAATAGTTCCCTTTCAAAATGTGCATGTTCCAAGAGTTTATCTACACCAGCCCAAGAACCCAAAATCTGGTTTCGGAGTATAAATGCAATGATGTCACCATAAGCTTGTGTCATATGCCCCGAAAAGGCCCAGCATCTGGCCAGTAGCATCTGCCTATGCTCTTCTGTTGAGGTGGTTTTAAAAATATAAACTTCAATGGTATTTCTATTTCCATAAGGGCAGATATAATGGGCTTTTAATTGGCATTGTAACAGTTGGTGTCTTCATGCTCCTTTTCCTTTTTAATAATCCCTTCAATGTCTTATTCCATTAAGTAGACTTTGTTAAACTTAGTACTACGTGTGTGTGTGTGTGTGTGTGTGTGTGTGTGTGTGTGTGTGTATAAGGACAGCTATCTTCTGGGGAGAAATGTATACACAGATTTGACTCTGGCCCACACAAGTGCTTTTGTGTATGAATGGACTGGTATAGATAATTCCAATCTTATAGTGGACACGATTCCAAAGTTCATTTGTAAGTCAGTAGTTGGGAACTTGGAACACATTTTCTCATAAAAGAACTGTTCTACATGGTGGAGAGAGGCCTGGCCAGCCCACAAGAGTCTGTTTAACTCCTACCGCACCTGAAGTGGAATTGTTATGAACTATGGAGAACAATGTTTCCATGGGAACACATTTTCGGAGCTCGCCTGCTGAAGGTTGGGAACCACTGACTGTAAAACTTTCACTCACCTACTAAATCACTTCTTCCTTTTTCCTTTAATAAATTACCAAGCAGAGGAGCTATTCTGACCACAAATTGTTGCTTCAATATATTAGGTTAAAATAATGTTTCTTTTCCTCCTCTTGTTTTGTGCACTTTGCAACTTTAGCCAAAGGGGTGCATATAAGGAGGAAAACAGTTCCTTCAAACACTCTTGGACTTCCTCACCCTCAGGTTCTTGTCACTTCTCGGTTCCCTCTGCATGTCACAGCCAGTCAGCTAGTGGCAGAGAGACAGCTGTCACTCTTACATTTGCTTTCACATCGAAATCGTTTGGTTTTTTTTCAACCTTATCAGTCCCTTAAGTTTTTAGGACGTGCCTTATAACTTAACAGAAATCTGGAATAACTAAGTAATGAAATATATTCTAGGTCACACTGACCACAGGAATCAGAAATGTTTCAACTACACCATACACAGATTCTGCTAGAAGCTGTATAAATATATCACAGAATCACAGGGCTGGAAAGAACCTTAAAAGATTGTCTAGTCTGTTCCCTGGCTTCCAGACAAGCCAATCATTCCAAACAGATGAGAGCTAACCTCTCTGTTAGAGGAAGAGGATGACTTTGTCTTTAACCCTTTCTAGATGTAACAATGTACACAGCATTAGTAAATTACTGTTGTCTTTATGTCTAAAATGCTTCCCATGACAGTTACAACTGTATTTCACTTTCTCATGTTTGCTTCTCGTAGGAAACAAAGTAGGTTTATCTGTGCCAAGCCCCAGTACATTTATATCTATTGTCCTTTCTCTTCTAGGGCCTTCCTGAACATCCCAGTGTCTGACACTTCAGTTCCCTTTGTCCTGTTCTTTCTGGGTTATTTGTACCCTTTTAGCAGTGGGAACTAAAGTTAAGCTACAGAGTTTGATGAGGCATCTGAGAACTGAGCGGTTTCCCCTTTCCACGCATAGGAATATTTTAAAGTAATCCATATGCAGACCCAAAGACCTAGGACTCCAAGGAAAGACAAATTTAATAATTGTAATAAAGCTGCAATAACATAGGCTATTTATTTATAGTCACTCTCTTTCGGGCAGTGAAAAGGGCATAACTAGCCTGATAATAACAGCTTTTCGATCAGGCAAGGAAATTAAAGAGAACCTACCCCTACTAAGGTTATTCATAAAATGTGATATCCTTAAATGTCACCAAGTGTAATTTTTCTATTGCAAGCCTACCGCACAACCTATAAGGGCCGATCTCAAAATATTTTTGGCTAATTGGGAATGACTATTCAAACTCGATACTCAGAGAGCCTTTCATGGAAGTTTTCAAAGGCATGGGCTTTTTGATCTCTACACTGGAAGACACTGAACATACTAGCTTTACAGCAAGGACTACTGGCTATGTTGCTGTCTTAAAAGAGTCGTACTAGCCCCCAAGATAAAAAAGAATGACAGGCTATCATAAATGAATAATGAGATCCCTTCTGTTTGTGAGGTTTTGAATGCCTCAAAGGTGAGGATTATGCCAGAAAAAAAGGAGCCATGGGTAAAAATGTTCATAATTATGGTTTCAATCTGATAGTAAACCGTGTGCCATGTTTATTCCCCAAATATTTCCATACTCCCTGGGGGGCGTGATGGGTAATACCGTGCGTCCGCTTGAGGGGTACCCATATGGCAAGGGGTACCCATATTAAATAATATTTCTAGGTGTGCCTGCGAGGCCGTTTCCGGATGAGATTAGCATCTGAATCCGTGGACTCAGTAAAACGGATCGCCAAGCGATACAGCAGATCACCCTCCCCAGTGTGGGTGAGCGCCATCCAATCCCTTGAAGTCCTGAACAGCAAAATATGTAGAGGAAGAAGGAGTTCTCTCAGTTTTTCCTGCCTCACTGGTTAAGCTTGGATGTCACGTCTTATCTTCTCCTGCCCTTGTACTGGGAGCACATCATTGACTCCCCTGGTTCCCAAGCCTTCACATTTGGAGTAAGACTGAATTAGACCAATGGCTTCCCTGGGTTTCCAGCTTGCAGATGGCAGATTGTGGGACTTCTTGGGCTCTGTTACTAGATTAGCCAATTCCTCATAAGAAACTATCTATCTATCTATCTATCTATCTATCTATCTATCAGTATAGATATCTCCATCCTTTTGGTTCTGTTGTCTGAGGAAGCCTGACCTATGCTGGTGGCTACTCATACATCCTAACTATCTAAGGGGACAGAAGCAACTTCGTGAGACCAGGCAAACACATCTGACCCTGTAAAATGACTGTGCCAGCACTGCGCCTAACTTCTGTACGTGAGCAAAGCACCTCAGTGGAGACTGTGGACCCTGCTTTTCTATAAACTTACGGAGTAAAATCTGTCTTCATAGCTTCCTGGCAGACTACAGCACCCCTAATCTACTGCCAGCATATCCACTCACATCATTGGGTTACATTACGACAGAATTCTTGGGGCGCCTGGGCGGCTCAGTCAGTTAAGCATCTGACTTTGGCTCAGGTCATGATCTCAAGGTTCGTGAGTTGGAGCCCCACATCAGATGAGCTGGAGCCCCACTTCGGGTGAACACAAACGCTGCTTCGGGTGAATCCCGCTTCCTTCTCTCCCTCTTTCTCCCTCTCTGCCACCTGTGGGATTCTCTCTCCCTGCCCCTAGCTCACGCCCTCTCTCTCTCAACAAACAAATAACCAAACAAACCAGACAGAACTCTTCCTGGGAAATGGGGTAATTCTTTGGCTTCCACTGAATATGCCAAATGCTGCTTTGGAAACTCAAAACCCCCTGAGCTCACCCATAGCAAGAAGTTCCTGCCCCCATCAACCAATCAGATTCCTGGCCCAAAGAGACCTTTCTCTGTAGTATAACCCTAAGTGTGAAAAAATGGAAAAGAAGAAATAATGAAAATAGTTTTCCTACTTTTGTCATCAGGATGTCGGCATTATTTATAGCTCAGTGGTGTAACCATTTGAGAATTACGCGTGGCTAATTTTAGCTAAATAGACCATGATGAGTGTATACTGTCCTTCACCCATCTTAATAAAAGTATCCCTTCAGGGAAACTTCCTGTCTAAAGACTGCCTTCAGACTTTAACTTACATTTCCTTCCACACTCGGCCAAAAATACAGTATGACATTGCAACTCTGTTATTCATTTGTTAGGTGTTTGAAGGATGTCTTGCAAGGCACCCACTCATTACACAAATGAATTGACACAAAGCACAGTTTAACCATGGGCAGCGACAACTTACTTGTTCATTTTTAGTAAGCCTGGTTTTGTTGTGAATGTCTGACGTGACCAAATTGAATCCGTGCTTCTCTGACAAGATTCTCAGAAGCAAGACCACAGTACGACTCCCACACTTGCCTACCCTGTTGTACACGACCTGGCTCGGGAAAGGTAGCACCTGGGAAAGAACGAGAGAGCAAATATGAGACCTCGGGTGAAAATACTTGGGATTCTTCCCTCAGTTTCAGGACAACAAATGTCTGATCAATCTAAGCGAGAAGGGTCCATGTCAAGTCAAAGAGAGAACAGGAGCACTGGACTCTTGGTTGTCTTCATAGTACGACTCGAGACAAATGGCGGACTCATTACCTTCTGCACCGACACTTACAACTGGTAAGCTTTTACGCCAATCCTAAGCCTAATTATGAAGCTTCTTTTGTTTCTTCTTAGGAACAAAATATATAAATATGTGCTGTGATGACAGTATCTTTTGCAAGTTATATTATGCTTTATTAGAACTTCATTTGTAGAGTGCTCAAGGAAAAATATTGAGATAGCAATAGAAAAATCGAGATATCCATAAAAACTCACCCTTCCACAGTGGACCATTTAGTGGTTTTAATGTTCCACACAGTTGAGCAACCATCACCACTATCTAATTCCAGAACATTTTCATCAGCCCTGAAAGAAACTCCCTACCCATTAACAGTCACTTTTCATTTCCCTTACTACCTTGGTCCCGTGAAACCATTTATCTACGTTCTGACTCCATGATTTTGCCTATAGTATTCTGGACATCTCATAAATAGAATCATAAAATATGTGACCTTTTGTGTCTGGCTTAAGTTAGCATAATGCGCTCAAGATTCATCTATACTGTAGTACGAATCTGTACTTTATATGGCTGAATAATATTACATTGTATGGATATACCATATCAGGTGTATACATTCATCAGCTGATGGACATTTGGATTGTTTCCACCTTTTGGTTACCATGAATAATGCTGCAATGAACATGTGTGTATAAGTTTTTGTGTCAACATATGTTTTCGATTCACCTTGAGTATATCCTAGGAGTGGAAGTGCTGGATCATATGGCAATTCTGTTTAATTTTTTGAAGAACTTCCAAACTGTTTTCAATACAGCCGCACCATTTTATATTTCCACCAGCAATGCACGAGAGTTCCAATTTCTCCACATCCTTGCCAACACTTGTTTTTGCCTGTTTTTTTTTATAGCCATCCTAATGGATATGAAGTAGTATTTCATTGTTTTGATTTGCATTTCCCTGATGACTAATGATGTTGATCATATTTCATGTGCTTATTGGAAATTTGTATATTTTTTTTTGGAGAAATATCTGTTTAAATCGTTTGCCCATTTTAAAACTGGGCTATTTGTCTTTTTATTATTGAGTTTCAAAAGTTCTATGTTTATTCTGGATTTGCAAATATATGATCTGCAAATATTTTCTCCCATTCTATGGGTTTCCTTTTCATTTTCTTGACCGTGTCCTTTGAAGTACAAAAGTTTTTAATTTTGATGAAGTTCAATGTATCTAATTTTTCTTTAGTGACTTGTGCTTTGGGTGTCATATCTAAGAAATCATTGCCTAACCCAAGAATGTTTTCTCCTAAGAATTTTATATTTTTAGTGGCCTAAAACATTTAGGTCTTTAATTCATGTTGAGTTTATTTTGTGTGTGATGTGAGCTAGTGATCTAACTTCATTCTTTTGCATGTGAATATCCATTTGTCCCAGCACCATTTATTGAAGAGGATTCTTTCTCCATTTAATTGTTTGGCACCCTGTTGAAAATCCACTAACCATAAATGTGTGAGTTTATTTCTGAGCTCTCAATTCTACCCCATTGATCTATGTGTTTATTCTTATGCCAATACCGCAGAGTCTCGATTACTATTGCTTTGTTGTAAGGTTTGAAATTGAAAAGGGGGAGTACCTCTAACTTTGTTTTTTTTTTTTTCAAGATAGCTTTGGCTATTCTGGGTCCCTTGCATCTCGTATGAATTTTAGGACCAGTTTGTCAATTTCTGCAAAAAAAGGCAGTTGAAATTTTGATAGGGATTGTGTTGAAACTGTAGATCATTCTGGGGACTACTACCACCTTAATAATAGTTTTCCAGTCCATGAACATGGGATACCTTTCCGCTTATTTAGTTCCCATTTCATTTGTTTCACTGATGTTTTGTAGCTTCCAATGTACAAGCCTAATACTCCTTTTATTCTTTTTGATGCTATTATGAATGGAATTATTCTCTTAATTTCATTTTTGGATTGACTGTTCACTGATAGAAAAACAGTTTATTTTTGTACATCAATCTTGTGTGGATTCTTTAGGAATTTCTATATACAAGATCATGTCATCTGCAAACAGAGATAGTTTCCCAATACAGATGCCTTTTCTTTCTTTTTCTTTTTTTTAAAGTTTATTTATTTTGAGAGAGAGAGAGCATGTGCACAAGCAGGGGAGGGGCAGTGAGAGAGGGAGGGAGAGAGAGAGAACCCCAAGCAGGCTCCACACTGTCAGTGCAGAGGCCACCATGGGGCTTGATCTCATGAACCATGAGGTCAGGACCTGAGCCGAAATCAAGAGTTGGATGCTTAACTGACTGAGTCACCTAGGTGCCCCTCTTTTGTTTTTCTAATTGCCCAGTTTAAATGATTCTTACAGACTAAGAAGCCATTATGAAAAGCATCTGATTAAATATTTATATCCCCAATAAAAATATTTCCATTTTGAATGCTCAGCATTAACAACTGACAAATGTTAACCAAGAGTCCTTCATTCAGCACGTACCCATAACAGAAGGCCACAAGCTAAAGAATATAGTATAATATAAATATAAGTATACCACAAACGTGCCTACTGTATGGAATATGAATTTTGCCTCTGTAATTATAGGCTTACTTATTTTTATGAAATATTTTATATTTATATTTATATTTACATTTATATAGAGCAGCATTTCATAAATTTGGAGCTTAAAGGCTAATTGTCATTGGAGTAAAACATTATATCTATCACTCACTTAGCAATCCATCATGTACCATTTTGATATAATTCTTCCAGAATTTTTTTTTTTAATGAGCAACACCTTGTTTCTTTAGAACCAGTCAGTATCTTCTATTGTGTGTCCTCATATTGCCTAGAACATGCCATGTATATAAATATAGGGCTTCAACAAACATTGATTGATTAGATCCTCTGAGGGCTTAATATGCTGTTTAACAACGATTAACACAATGATTCTGCTAAAATGTGAGACCAGGAGAATCTTCAAACACAACTGATCTTTCTACCCAAACGCTAATATAAAAGGCATCAGGGTAAAAGGATAATCATTCTAATAGGTCATTGTACTTATGGTTTTATCAGTGAGTACCCCAAAATTAGCGCTTTCTGACAACAACTGCGGAAGCTCAGATATTCAGATAAATCAGATATGTTCTTCCTCATGAGGTTATGATCCAGGGAGGCTGAAATATAACAGGATGTCAATAGCGTTTGCAAGCTGGACTTTCCATAATCACCAGGCTGCGGTTTAGACTGCAGTTGTGACAGAGCTGCTGATATAAAGACAAGTTTTAATTTCTTTGCAAAAATAAACGGCTTAAGAATTGCGATCAGTGTGTCTTTCCTTGTCCTCTAGCACAGTATAGAACAGCAACGGAGAGCGCTCGTTCCGTCTGAATTGCTGACCAAGATGAGTTACCGCATACGCAAGCACTTTATTCCAAGAGTACAGGTGTATCTCAGAAGATTTAAATGAAGAACCGAGAGGCACAAACCTTTGGCGAAAACACTTAATTTCTCCTGAATTTTGTGGGTAATTACACCGTGGCAGGCTTCCCATCTATTTCCTTTTGCTAATAACTAAAGATATTATTATAAACCTTCTAGTTGTTTGTTGACTTTTGAAAAACTTTGCATTCCAACTCCTTCATTAGTCTTGTGGGAGGCTCTCACATAACAGTTATAAATATTTGTTATTTAAGAACACTTTTGTCCTGACAAGAAAAAAATTCTTTATGGATGGTGACGGATTTAACTACACTTATTGTGGTGATCATTTTGCAATGTATACAAATATCAAATCATCATGTCATACACCTGAAACTAACATAATGTTACAGGTCAATCAGAACTTGGTTAAAAAAAAAAAGAACACTTCCATAAAAACAAAAACTCCCTACATTGTTCCTGCAGCTGTATCTACAGTAATATTTGAAAAGAAAAGAGAGCTGAACATCCCCATTGTGACTCTATTATACCATTTCTGTAAACACCAATATACAGCTACAGGGTATAAAAACTGAGCTAGAAAATGTGTTTTTAGATGAAGCTTCTGGAATCAGTCCGGTGATTGTTAAAGACACAACATACATCATCACAAACATAAACCTTTCTCAAAGTTAGGATGGGGCTTTTAAATCATTTTCTAAAAGAGCCTATGTAATGCTCTGGAAATTGGCAAGTTTAGCAGGCTAAATCAATGTGCTGATGTTGGATAAGGTGTTAAAATTCGGAACGGCAACAAGTAGATTCATCCCCGCTTTGGTAGAGCTATAGATCCGCTCCTGAAGGTCTGTTTTAAAAATCATTGTCATTTTCTTTTTTTATTTGAAGTCTTCATTCCGGAAAAGTAGGGGGGAAGGGACTGATTTTTATGAAAGGCTGACCCTGACCCTGTGCTAGGCTTTGTGCCAGGTAAAGGCTTTTAATCCTTGTTAACAATACTGAGTCAGAGAGTATAACTGTCTTTACTCTAGTTGCACATCTCTCTAGAAGGTTAAATTATCAAATAATTTAAGCATCATTAATTGCCCCTAAGGGACTCCCAGTGTGCCCCTCTCTTCTCTATAGATCACGGATTCACAGAGGAACAGAGTTTGAGGTCTAGAGCAATTTAGAATAATCCACCCGCTCCAATCCCCTCCCCACCCCGGCACTCCTACTCTTTATCATTGTCACACTCAGCCCAATGTGTTTGGCTTGGCGAGGGCTTTCTTTTATGTTGTCTTTTCATCCTCTCGAGTACCCTGTGAGGGAGATACCATGACTATTTTTAGATGAACAAACCGAGGCTCAGAGAGATCGTTTGGCATTTTCAAGGTCAAAGAGTGGCACATAACAACTAAAGCCCAGCTCACAGC